CACTGCACTCCAGTCTGGGCGACAGAGTGAGACTCCAACTAAAAAAAAAAAAAAAAACTGAGACACATCTCCAGTTCTCCTGGAGTCCCAGCATCTCCTGTACGTTAGCCCATGCCTTCTTTTCTGGCAGGCCTGGCGCAAGCTCAGCTTTCATCTGCCTTCAAGAGTGAGGCTTGACAATTTCAAACTCTGTATCTCCACATAAGCCAGTCTTCTGGACAATTCGATATTCATTTTATTCCATAGGATGACCACTTCGTCCCAGCTTGCACAGGAGTTTCGTAATTTTGGCACTGAAAGACCCATGTCTGGAAACTCCCTGTCTCTCAGTCCTGGGCAAACCAGGACAAGGAGAGCAGGTCACGCTGCGCCTTTCCATTGCCTGGAACCTGTGTAGCTACATACAGCCGAAAAGACAAGACGTTCTCCAGAAGGGGCTGTCAGCTCCACAGTGTCCCAGGGAACACAGGCAAAGACTTAGCTTTCTAAAGCTCTTCTGATGGAAAAAGATGCATGAAAGACATTTCCATGAAGTGATTGGTTTTAGAGAAGGAACTAGAGATAGGAAGGTGTAACAAGCAGTCCTCCCCCATTTCTCCACTTTTCTTACAAATGTTCACTACTTAGATAAAATTTTACTGAGTTTTTTTTGCAACATTAAACTCATCAAAAAGGAAAGATGTAAGGCTGGATCTGGCGGTTGGAGAGCAGAACATAGAGCTAAAGGTAATACATCTGTCAAGAGGATGTGGAATCTTTCATCAAGTAGAATTAGATAAGAGGTAATTCCTTCTATACTTGTTTTAGGATAAGTAGTGTGTGATGCCTTTGGAATTTCTCTTAAATCCTAAAAAAGGTATTGGGATGATTCAGAAAGCTAAAAAAGAATGTGCCTTACCAGAATCTTTTCTGAAATGTAGGACAAAAATTTTCAGAATTATTCTGCTCACATCAAAATTATACTATTTTAAAATAGCAAGTAGTTCATAGAATCCTCAGAAATTCGTTTCAAAACCAGTTCAAAATATAACTTTCAAAAGCAGCTCATACTTTTGGCTCAGAAATAATCGCACCAACAGCTGGTTGGTGGTGAAAATATACTTGTGTGTGTATTTAGCACATTTGCCTACTTGAATTCTTGGGTGCGATATCAACTTTCCTTAAAAAGCAAGTTTAATAGCCAATGGCAATTTACGATTATAAGTTTCACTCATTCAGTCTTTTATGACCATTAGATACTTAATGCAGAAAACAGTTTTTCAGTAAAGATTTGAAGTGCTCAATGCAGAAAAGCATGTCAAGTACAGAATTTTAAAAGCAAAGCCACTGGCTATAATTGTATTAGCATTTTCCAAAGTGTGTTCTGTGAGATGTTAGTAGGTATTATTATTATTATTATTAGAGGCGGGGTCTCACTCCATTGCTCAGGCTGGAGTGCAATGGCATGATCACGGATCACTGCAGCCTTGACCTGCTGGGCTCAGGTAATCCTTTCACCTCAGCCTCCCCCCAGACCTGAGTAGCTGGTACTATAGGTGCACACCACCATGACTGGCTAATTTTTTTTATTTTTTTAGAGATGAGGTCTTGCTTTGTTGCCCAGGCTGGTCTTGAACTCCCTGGGCTCAAGTAATCCTCCTACTTCAGCTTCCTTCCCAAAGTGCTGGGATTGCGGGTGTGAGCCACCACACCTTGCTGGTATTGTTAAAAAAAAAAAAAAAAAAAAAAAAGCCGGGCTCGGTGGCTCAGCCTGTAATCCCGCGCCTTTGGGAGGCTGAGGTAAGTGGATTTCCTGAGCCCGCGGGTTCGAGACCCGCCTGGGCAGTGAGACCTCATCTCTACAATAAATCAAAAAAAATCAGCCAGGTGTGGTGGCGCATGCCTGTAATTCCAGCTACTTGGAAGGCTGAGGCAGAAGGATCGCTGGAGCCCAGCAGGTCGAGGCTGTGGTGGCCGGGAGCGGCCACTGCACTCCAGTCTGGGCAACAGAGTGAGACTCCAACTCAAAAAAAAAAAAGGATGGTCTCACACCAAATAAGATTGGGAAGCACAGAGATAATCAGAATTTCACATGTCTCTTTAGGGCGACTTTTGAGATCTTACAATTGTAATGGAAGTGGCACTCTCCAAAGCAGAGTGTAGCATGTGTTTCCCAAACTAATTTGACCAAATTTTGTCAGGATATCTAAAAGGTTTCCATTCTAACTAACACACAGAGTAACATTGCTCTTGTCTTTCGAAATTTGATAACTCAGCTCCTTGAAAATTGGGACTAAATCTATTTTTAGTCCATATGTAGTGAAACCAGTTTTCTTTTCTTTTCTATTTTTTCTTTTTTTTTGAGTTGGAGTCTCACTCCACTTCTGACTCAGCCTTCCAAGTGTCTGGAACCATAGGTGCACACTACCATGCCCGGCTAATTTTTTTTTTGATTCATTGTAGAGATGAGGTCTCACCAAGTTGCCCAGGCTGTTCTCAAACTCGTGGGCTCAGGCAATCCCCTCACCTCGGCCTCCCAAAGTGCTGGGATTACAGGCTTGAACCACTGTGCCCGGCCTGTGAAACTAGTTTTCGTTTGCAAATAGCTACAGCAGCTTTGTCCAAAGCATAGAACAGCTTGAGTGACATTCTACACATACTGAGATTTCAACACACTTTGAAAGACTATTCCTAAAACAAATGTCATTACCTCCAATTTACAATGAGAACAAACAGAGCAGTGAGACCTATTAGAAAGTATTTGTGGCTTTGAACTTGAAAAATTTCACTTTGATGACCTGGAAAGGCAGATGAATTACTGCCAGTGAGGCAGGGCTTTGGTCTGTGGCTCTCTGGTCAGTGGTTTGAAGAGCTGTAAATGAGCAGATATGGGCATTTGTTGCTGACATGCTTATCCACAATTGGATACTTTTCTAAATGAGATACTCAAATTTCCCAACTCAAATGGTAGCGTGAATCTGGAAACAGTAGAAACACCTGGCACTGAGGAAGAGGAGGAGGAAGATTAAAAGGATTGCACAGCTTTGGCCATTAAAAAAGGAAACCTGGAGAAGGAATGACAGCCACAGGGCTACCCTGAGGTTAGCAGCTAGGAAAGCGTGCTCCATGTCATTCCACTGCTTTACATGTAATTTCCCCCAAGCAATAGGTCTGTAAGAGTAAGAATGATGATGCAAACCCAAATTAGTAGCAAAGGTGCTGTTAAAATGAGATGAGGTAAAGTGGTCAAATCATTGCATACATTTTTCCTTCATGGTGTAGATATCAAATGTGGAGACAACCAAATGTTGCTTTGGTTCAGATGGGAAGTGACAATGTTTGCTCTCACCAAGAAGTTCAAGTTTTGTTCTTAACTACATCAAAATGGCGTTGTGCATAGTAACAAACAACATAAAATATGAAAACAAAAATTGTATAACGGGGAGAGGAAACATTGGGTACAATAAGCAGAGGGTTGGTGAAAAGTATTACATTAACAACCATTGTTTGGGGACTGCCTGAGCCCAGGGGTTCAAGACCAGCCTGGGCAACTTGGCGAGAACTCATCTCTACAATAAATCAAAAAATTAGTCGGGTGTTGGTGGCTTGTTCCAGCTATTTGGAAAGCTGAGGCGGAAGGATCACCTGAGCCCAGCAGGTCGAGGTTGTGGTAGTTGAGTGTGCCACTGTACTACAGCCTGGATGACAGAATGAGACTCCAACTCAAAAAACGAAAACAAAAAACACCAACAACCGTCATTTAAGAAACAAATACAGGTTTAGTAAAGGAAGAAGTGGGAAGCTCAGAGCAGATTTCCATACACCATTTCCACATGGCTTTAAGTAACAAGATCTCAGTTTGCATAGGTTATACAGATCACTGAGGGAACAGTGTATTGATTTGTGGCTATTTCCTACTATAATTCACTTCGTGGCTTGTTCATCTGCTTTTTATCATAATTCCAACTTTGGTGGTCCTGATGCTGTTCTACCAAGGTCTTCTCTATCCATAAGTAGGCACTTACCAAGAGGTTATTTCACAAGTAGGGGTTTTTTGTTCATTGTGAGTTAAAGAAATTGCATATACTTAAATAAATTCCATGGTTTTCATGACAGTTGCTTGACCAAATCTAAAAAAGCTCTTCTATTTTGGGGAGTGTTTAAGTCAAATGTACACACATGGAAAGAGTTTAGAAATAGCATTGGAATACATGCACACCTTTGTAGATACATTTTTAAGTCTCATGCAAGCTAATAGGATTTGTGCAATTCTGGAGGCTATTTATTAGGTAAAAATAAATATCTGTATGTAGTATGAAAAACAATCTTCCATGAACATTATGCATTTTGCTTATTTCTAACCCACAAACAGAAAACATCCAACAAGAACAATTTTATCTATGTTTATTTACTTATAACAAAAATAGAACAATTCATACTAAATGGAAAAAGATATTGAAAAATGACGATAAAAATGTTTAGGAACAGAAATGACTATATTTATCTGAAAGAATTACCCAGGTGCCATTAAAGCCCATTTGTAACATATAATTGGTTATTAGTATAATTATGTTTAGTAACTGAGTCCCAGTTCACTACTAAAAGTTATCAAAATATTTTCAAATAGTTATATAAAAACTGACAACATTCATATATATTACATAAACACCAAACAAAAAAATCATTTAAGAAAAAATAAATAAATGTATCCTGAGATAAAATACAAATCACACTTACACTCCATTTCCCCTCACACACAATTGTGAGGCTTCATGTTTTGCATCGTCCAAGATAAAATAATGATAATACATGTTGATGCAAATTTCAGCCATCAAAATAAATGACTTCATACATTAAATATAACTATGGTGAGACGTCAGGACCCCAGTTTCATGAATCAGAACTTTATGAAGGCATAAATTGCATTTGGTTTTGACTTCTCAAATCATGGCTGAAAACTCTTAGCAAAGCATTCTAGGCTTTTTTTTTTCTCACACCAACTGACCCAGAATACATTTTAATAAATGTTTATTTTCTGTGCATATTTGTTTTAAAATTATAAATCCCTGAGCACTTTTTCTTCTTCCTCCTCATCACTGTCAGTGACATTGACCTGTTGGATGCTGGATGGCGTTGACGCTGGGGTTGTGAAAACGTTGTCTAAGGCGCCGATGTCCAGCTGAGGCACGGGGTGTAAGTATTCATCCCCACTGTGGCTGTGGCTGTTATAGTAAGTGGTCCCATCCATGCTCTCACAGCTCCGAGAATCTTCACTGTGTGTGCGTTCGTCTGGGTAGTCTCTAAAAGGATAGTCTCTATTTAAAGCTGAAAAAATAGCCTCATGTTTTTGGTACCTGTCTTCATAATAACCAAGGCATTCTGGCATTGAACTTGGAAAATTTCCATAGCCAAAGGGAGGCCGACTATAAGGGCAAGTGCTGCAGCAGAGAGACACAGAAAATGAATTAGATCACACTTTGCCCACATATTGACTTGCATACAGACTAACTGAGCAAGTTGACTACATCCTCTTTGGGACCTTTCCGTAACCACTTTATGTGCTCACCTGCTCTTTTCCCACTGCCCAGTCCCCCTACCAAGTAAACAGCAAAGGATGCTTAACTGGAATACTCACCAGCACTTCATCCATCATTTGCCTCAGGCCTCTGACCTTTTGACAACCTTGGTAAAATGTGCTTGACCTGGCCTTTTGCTCAGGCTGCCTCACACAATGTACAATTTTGGAAATGCAGGCATGTCTGTGCTGAGCACTGACACAGTAAACAACCCAGCAATTGTTCTTATTGGACTGGAGAGGAAGCTCATGGGGAAAATGTATAACTGGGTTGAAATCAAGCACTCCTAAATATTGGGGCTCTGGAACAGAGTGGAGTAACTTAATTTTTTAGTTGGCATTCAGTAATAAAGTAAATTAAAAGCACTCTTATTACCAGGGAGATATAAAATTGATAATAAACTGGTTTTTAAAGGTGTTTTCCAGAATTTTTTTTGGCGAGAAGGCATGTGAAGAATTAAAAATGCTTTTTGCAGTTTTAAAAGCTGATTTTTTTTTTTTTTTTGAGTTGGAGTCTCACTCTGTCGCCCAGACTGGAGTGCAGTGGCCGCTTCTGGCCACCGCAGCCTCGACCTGCTGGGCTCCGGTGATCCTTCCGCCTCAGCCTTCTGAGTAGCCGGAATTACAGGCACGCGCTACCACGCCTGGCTGATTTTTTGATTTATTGTAGAGATGAGGTCTCGCTGCCCAGGCGGCTCTCGAACCCGCGGGCTCAGGCAATCCACTCACCTCAGCCTCCCAAAGGCACGGGATTACAGGCTGAGCCACCGAGCCCGGCTACAAGCTGATTTTTTTAAGGCAAACCCCCAAATTCTGCCACTTGCTGGGTACAGTGGCATGTACCTGCAGTCCCAGCTATTCAGAAGGCTGAGGAAGGAAGGATTGCTTGAGCTCAGGAGTTCGAGGCCAGTATGGTCAACACAGCCAAGACCCCATCTCAAAAAATAATAGGAAAAATAATAAATATTTTTAAAAGATTAGACCTCAAAAATTCTGCTACTCAAACCATTTGTCAATTTTTAAAAAAAGTATTATTCTTCCTTTCAAAGGCACAGAACAGGAATTATATATAGGAAGAAGTAAGAAAAGTTCAACCAGGAGTTCTTGGGGCTCATGGACTCCATCTAGTGACAGTTAACACAAACATAATGACCACACTCGTAAAACCCATGACAAGTCAGGTGTTTCATTTCCTGCTCCAGCATTAAAAAAAAAAAAGTCAACTTTGTTTCCTTACTTTTAAAAACATGAGTATGATCAGCATAGTAGACCTCAAACTCTTCGACACTGTGTCCCATCCCCAAATCTTTAAGTGCTAGGTACCTCGCTCATGTTAAATATCACAACTGTGAGGCAAAGTTTCCAAAATTTTTCAGGTTTCCATTCCTTTGCCCTGTCCTAGTCTGGGTGTTTTTAATTTAATGCATGTATCCTGAATACACTGTGTTTCTAGCTACTATGACTCTGCTCATGTAGTCTCTCCACCATCGGGTCTCTCCAGCCATTGACTTCTACAGATACTTCAGGGATGAAGAGAGGTTGATTCTTGAGGACAAATATTCAGCTAGATAGAGATATACGTATTTAAGTTATCTTTTTTTTTTTTAAGTTGGAGTCTTACTCCATCACCCAGGCTGGAGTGCTGGACTCTGGCAATCCTTCAGCCCCAGCCTTCCAAGTAGCTGGAACTACGGGCGTGGGCTACCATGCCCGGTTAATTTTTGATTTATTGTAGGGATGAGGTCTCACCAAGTTGTCTAGGCTGGTCTCAAACCCATAGGCTCAGGCAATTCACTCACCTCGGCTTCCCAAAGTGCTGGGATTATAGGCTGAGTCACCAAGCCCGGCCAGAGATCTAAGTTCTAATGTTCCATAGCAGAGTAGGGTGACAATAGTTAGCAACAATGTCTTTTATATTGCAAAATGGCCAAAAGCGAGGACTTGAAATGTTCCCAACACATGGAAATGATAAATACCCAAGGTGGACACCCCAAATACCCTGACTTGATCATTACAGTCTATGCATGTAACAAATATTCACATGTGCTCCATAAATATATAAAATGTTATATATCAATTTAAAAACCTACCTCTTCCACAAAGCCTTCATTTCAACAATAAATAATTCATCCAATAACTATCTTTTCCAAGAGTCAATGTAGGTAAGATACTATACAAGGCTTGGTAGAATTTTTTTTAAAAAAAGACGGATAATCTAGGTAATATGCTAGATGGTCTAAAATCTGTAATGTCAGCATCACAATGACTATATTGGTCTGGTAAAGACAAGTTAGCATTATGTTCAGAGAGCAAAAAGATCAATTAAGACAAAAGTAATCCTAGCAGGTTATATGGATGAGGATGAATAACTATAAAAGCATAATGGTTTGGGGGAGAAAGCATAAATTAGAATAATCTGAATAATAACGCTAGCCATCATGTAATAAGCATTTACTATGTTTTCTGGCTAAGGATTGTATATGCTATCTCAATTATTCTTCAGAACAACCCTACGAGAGATACTACAAATGTCTCCACTTTACAGATGAGGAAACAGAGCCTTACAGAGGCTAAGTGACCTGCTCAAAGTGATAAAATTAGTTAAGTGGTAGAACGGAATCAGGCAGTCTGACTCCAGACTTGTTCTCCTAATTACCATGCCACACTACCAGGGCACTAGTAGTTCTAGCTGTGCCAAATACATACCTTAAACTTAAGTATATCTTAATTTATCTGATCCTTGGGTGATTCTTACATCCTTGGGTGATAATATTACCTGTTCTGCCAAAGTAAAAGGTCTGCCATAAGAAACAGGAGGATGTATATAGGTACTTTGGAAACTAGAAACACTATTTCAATGTGCAACTGCTATATTTTACAAGTTACTGTAATTTTCAGCCAGAGGGATTTGTATTTGGTTTTTATTTCTATCTCCTTATTAACATTTTCTATTTGGTACATATTGCTCTCTTGGTTTCCTTTAGTTCTCTGTTCATGGTTTCCTTTAGCTTCTTCAGCATATTTAAAACTCTTGACTTAAATTCTGTTTAGTAAATTCAATGTCTTATCTTCCTCTGGGATAGTTACTATTAATTTTTTTGTGTGAATTCCATACATTTTTTTTTTACATACATTGTAATTTATCTGTGGAAACTGGATATTTAAAAAATATTATCATATGATGCTTCTACAAATCAAATTCTTTCCCTTACCCAGGGTTTGTTGTTGCTGCTTATTTTGGTTTGTAGTTATTTGGTTAGTGGCTTTTTAAAACTATTTTTGGACTGAGCATGGTGGTTCATGCCTGTAATCCCAGCACTTTGGGAGGCCAAGCTGAGAATATCACTTGAGGCCAGGAATTCGAGATCAGCCTGGGCAACATAGTGAGACCACATCTCTAAAATAAATAAACAAATCAATAAAATAATAATAGTATAAGCTGAGCGTGGTAGTGTGCTCCTGTAGTCCCAGCTACTTGGGAGGCTGAGACAGGACTGCCTGAGCCCAGGAGGCTGAGGCTGCAGTGAGCCATTAATCGTGCCACTGCCCTCCAGCCTGGGCAACAAAGTGAGACTCCAACTCAAAAAAAATAAAATAAAATAAACTATTTTTGCAAAGGCTGTATTCTTTGTCATATATGCTCACTGAAATCTCTGTTTAGTGGTCAGCCAGTGATTTGAGAGAGATTTTCTAGAACACTTAGAGATAAAAAGCAAACAAAAAATATTCTCCATGTCTTTGCAGATCGGCTCTCAGTTGGGGCACTCCTCCAATGCTTAGCCAGGTTGTTTTCAATCCTGCCTTAGCCTTCACTCTGCTTGCACAAAGACTGAAGCTTGGTGAGAGGTCAAAGTGTAGGGTCTTCTCAGGTGTTTCTCAGCAGGCATGTAGCTGTGGACATGTGTGTGGCCTTCTGGACTCCCCAGGACAGGTAGGAGTTTTTCAAAGCCTTTATCCTCCTTTGTACGCCATTTCTAGTCTCTTCTAAGTTTTTTAACCTGTCTGCTGCTTGCCCTGTCTGTTGTCCCTTAGCCCTAGCAGCTGCGGGTAGTATACCTGAGGGTAGTATGCGCCTTCAAATACTTTCTACAAACACCCCTGGGAGATGGCGCCAGCCCTGAGAAATTCCGAGAGAGGTGAAAAAGACAAGCCCCTGAGCCAATTCTTCAGAACACACCAGACAGATGGCAAAATGCACAATCACAAGTTTTTGAGAACAACGTCTGTGTGGCAACAACAAGCCACACTAGGAACATGGGCCACCATCCCCTGGGCTATTGCCAAACTGGAAAATGGGGAGTAGTAGGCAGGTCATCAAAACTGCAGAACTCTCACCAAAATTTAGCAGCTTCATTCTTCATCAAGCAACTCCCCCAGTTGTTCTAAGTTTTTAAAATTAAATTCCAGAGTTCCAAAAAAGTTGATTGTGACAGTTTTTGCCAACTTAATTGCATTTCAGTGGAGGAACAAATTCTGCCACTCTTCGTGAGAGTTTTGTCATTTTCAGAATATAAGTTTTGTACTTCTTTTATTGAATTTGTTTCTAAGGTTTTAAAATTACTTTTGTGCTATTATAAATGGAATTGCTTTCTCAATTTCTCTTTTGTTTTTCAAGTCATGTGGTAAGACTTCTGTTTTTGAGACAGAGTCTTGCTAAAATTGCCCAGGCTGGACTCAAGTGATCCTCCAACTCAGCTCCTGAGTAGCTGAGGTTACAGGTATGTACTACTGTGCCCCAATTTCATTTTCTGTTTGCTCATTGCTACTCTACAAAGAGGCAATTAAGTTTTGTATATTAGTCTTGTATCCTGAAAACTTGCTGAATTTGATTATTATTTATAATAGATTTTTATGGATTTGTAA